TGAGAATGATGAGGATAACAAACGTACAAATGTGCTTGACACAATGGATAGGTGTATGGATTGTAATAAGAGTTGTACGAGCCCCTAATAAAATGATTTTAAAAAGAAAAGAGTGCTATGCTAAACATGGCTGTGCAAACAAAAAGAAGAAAACAACTAAGAATCTTCAATATTAAAAATACTACACAGATATCTTTGCCATGATTTCATCACTGCCTGGTTCCCCTTCTCTCCCAAGAGCTAACACTGCAGTTAATTTGCTTAAATCTTTCATACGCTTTCTATGTGGTCGTATGATCTGTGTGTCTGTCTGTTTCACATAATACTATGTATTATTTAGTGATGGTAATTTATATACACACACATATATATATATATCATCTAAATATGCATAATTTTTTGAATCTCCATAGCATATCCTTTAGTGATCATTTTAAGTAATGGCACGGTCAGGTAGCGTTAGACTGCTAACTGCAAGTCACTGGTTCAAAGCCATCGGCTGCTCCTCGGGAGACAGATGCAGCTGTCTGCTCCCTGAAAGACAAACAGCCTTGGGAATCCTGTGTAAGGCTGCTATGGGTCAGACTTGACTATGGCATTGGGTCTGGTTAGTTTTTGCTTTCCTGTTCACACACCTTCTATTTTTTGGCAGCCATCTAGCATTCTGCAGCATGCCATACCAGAGTTTATTGATTCCTCCGTGATTTTTCGCTATCGTATGCAATGCTGTGATGAATACCTTGTCCATATGTAATGGGGGCTACCTTATATGGGTACTGCTTCAAGTCATGAGGTGTCGCAGTAAAGAAGTTGAAGAGATAAATAAAATTCCAATTAAACATTTGGAACCGAAAGAATACAATAACTGTAAACCGCACTGGAGGGACTCAATGGCAGAATGGATGGGCAGAAATAAGAATCAGTTAACAGGAAGGTCGAACAATAAAAATGACCCAATTTGAACAATAGTGAGAATTTTTATTTATTTATTTTTTAAGGAGAACAGAGACTCAAGGACCCGGAGACTGTAGCAAATGATTGAATGTTTGCGTCACCTGGGTGCTACCGAAGAAGAAGTTAAGGTTGAAAATATAGTCAAAGAAAGAGGGGCTGAACATTTCACAGATGTGGCAAAGGACGTGAACCTATAGAAAATGAGCAAACCTCACCTTCCCAACACGATCGCTGAAGACAAAGCGGGTACATAAGCAAATGTGGTGAAGAAAG